GCAGCACCTCGGGCCGGTCAGCACTGCGGGAGCTCGGACAGCGCTGGAGGCTCCGGGGCAGAGCTGCTACAGCTGCCACGAACCGCGGAGCTCCCGGGCTTTGGCAATTCCCAAGGCATGTGCCTTCCCGGGGYTCTGGGGCACAGCCATCACTGATGTGCCCTGCTCTTTCCAGGGAGCTGCTGAGAGCTCCCGGGTGGGAGGAGAAAGGGGTGTGAATGCCTTTACAAACGATGAGAAAACCTGAAAGAGCCAATCGCGTTCTGGAGGAGAATGAATGTGGTCTGTACCAATATCAAACCGCGCAGCTTCGTGACAGAACCAAGCACAGCCAGAATCTCTGAACTTTAGGGTAAAAGGCGCAGGCTGAGGAGACTTATGAGGATTATCTTCTGCAGCCAGGGTGRGCTTAAAGCTAATTTTAGTGATAATACAATGCATGATGTGAGGGGCGGGGTACAGGTTAAGGAGCGAATATACAGCGGGTGGTTTGGGATGTCCGTTCCTCCCTAGTCTGTCCCTCCCTCCCTGACCTCAGCCAATGGGTAAAAGGGAGAGGGTAACAAATGATCGGCAGTTTAGGATAAAAAGGAGCCTGCGTCTTCCGGAGAACTGAGAGAGCTCCTACAAAGCTACGTGTTGAGGGAACTTGCTCCATTAATTCAAATAAAGTGGATTTTTGCAGGACTCCTTTTGCTCCCTTGTGGACACTGGCCCTTGGCAGTGTGATTTTCCACACACAGGTATCCCCAGGGGCTGTCCCTGCACATGTGCTGGGACAGGGAGGTGCTCCCAGGTCCTCAGCAGTGTCTGGGGTGCTCTGGGGCACAGCACAAACCAGATTCCATCTCTCCACCTTCCCCCGTCCCGTGGATTTGGGTTCGCTTTGCCGTGGTTGCTCCAGGGACAGGACTGCTCTCTGCCCTCGTGTCACACAGAGCCAGGCTGAGGTTCTGCTGGGCCTCCTCACCTGGGGACACCTGGGCAATAGCAGATTTCAGAGCACTTTCCTGTACAGGACATTCATTTCATTGCAGGACGTTCATTTCCTGGCAATACAGCTTGAAATGGCAGCGTAGTGGAATCCAGAGGGTTATTTCTGTATTAGGAGCAAACAAAATTTAGATGTAAATAAATCGAAACCCTACCACATCCTCTCCTACTGTTTTGTTTTAATATACTGGAGTRCATTGGCCCTGGCCAYCCRAAACCTACCACATCCTCTCCTACTGTTTTGTTTCAATATACTGGAGTRCATTGGCCCTGGCCAGATGCCAGACACACACCAAAGCAGYTCTCTCACTCCCCTCCTGAGCTGTACAGGGAAGAGAAAATTCAACAAAGGGTTCAGGGGTAGAAATAAGGACCAGCAGAGATCTGTCATCAAATACCATCATGGGCAAAACAAACTCTAATTAGAGAGATGAGTTAAAATGATTGCAAACAAATTCAGAGCAGGATAATGAGAAGTAAAATAAACCCTTAAAAACACCTTCCCTCCCCGCATCCCTTCCTCTTTCCCAGCTCTACCCCCTCCCACCAACAGTGCAGGGAGATGGGGAAGGGGAATTATGGCCACTGCATCACCCGTGGTTCCTCCTGCTGCTCAGGGACAGGAGTCATTCCCGTGGTTCCTCCTGCTGCTCAGGGACAGGAGTCATTCCCGTGGTTCCTCCTGCTGCTCAGGGACAGGAGTCATTCCCCTGCTCCACCATGGGGTCTCTCCCACAGGAGAGTTCTCCATGAACTTCTCCAGTGTGAGTCCATCCCACAGGCAGCAGTCCTTCCCAAACTGCTCCAGCGTGGTCACTGCCACGGGGTCAGTCCTTCAAGGACAGGCTGCTCCAATGGGTGCTGCTCTGTCTGTGGTGTGGGACTCCTCCATGGGCTGTGGGTGCATCTCTGCACCTCATGGATCTCCTTGGGCTGCAGGGGCACAGTGCTCACCATGGTCTTCACCAGGGGTTGCAGTGGAATCCCAGCTCTGGTGCCTGGAGCATCACGTGCCCCTCCTGCTGCACTGCCCTTGGTGTCTGCAGGGCTGTTCCTCTCACACGTTCTCACTCTGCTCTTCTCCAGCCACAATTACAATTGCACAATAACTTCTTTTCCCTTTCTTCTCAAATCTGTTATCCCAGTGGTTTTACCACCCTGTTTTAATTGGTCCAGCCTTGRCCAGAGGCATGTCSATCTTTGGAGCAGCCTGGGATTGGCTCTGCTGGACACTGAGGARGCTTCCAGCCCCAAGGACATGGACAGCTCYCTGCTCAGCATCTGCATCCAGGAGACACATCACAGAGCAGGAAATG